ACTAGTTCATGCATATTATCAGACAATAGTGCAAAAAAATTGGAAATCAATGGCCAAAAAACCTACAAAAATTTAATAAACACATGAAAATTAAACAATACCCTCTTGAACAATGAATGAGTCACAGATGAAATTGAATAAGAAATTAGACAGTTTCTACAATTAAACAATAATGCCAATATAACATACTGAAACTTGTGGGACACAATGTTAAGCACCGATGCAATTGTAATTAGAAACATCGATACCTCACTGTCATAAATACATCAACTAGACAAAATATCAACAAAGAAATATTAAAACTGAACCAAATTTTTGAACAAATGGACTTAGTAGATATCTACAGAGTGTTCTACTCCACAACACTAGAATACACATTCTTTTCAGCTGTACATAGCATGTTTTCCAAAATAGACCATATACTAGCCTATAGAACATGCTTAAGTAAATGGAAAATAATGGTAACTAGTCCATGCATATTATCAGACAATAGTGCAAAAAAATTGGAAATCTATGGCCAAAAAAACCTACAAAAATTTAATAAACACATGAAAATTAAACAATACCCTCTTGAACAATGAATGAGTCACAGATGAAATTGAATAAGAAATTAGACAGTTTCTACAATTAAACAATAATGCCAATATAACATACTGAAACTTGTGGGACACAATGAAAGCAGTTCTATGAAGGAAATTTATAGTGGTAAATCCCCACATCAGAAAAACAGAACAGAAATTATAAAGAGTAGAGCAGAAATTAATGTAATGGAAAATAAGAAAGCAATATAAAGAATCATCCAATCAAAGCTGGGCATGCCTTTAATCCCAGCACTCGGGAGGCTGAGGCAGGAGGATAACTGTGAGTTTGAGACCAGCCTGGGCTACATAGTGAGTCCAGGTCAGTCTGTCTCAACTTCCCCCACCCCACCACCAAAAAAAATCAATGAATCAAAGAGTTGGTTTTTTTTTAAAGATTAAATAAAATTGACAAGTCCTTAGCTAACTTATCTAAAAAAAGGAAAGAAAAGACTCAAATCCATGTGATTAGGAATGAAAAGGGTAAAATCACAACAGACGCTGCAAAAATTCAGAAGGACATCAATACCTACTTTGAGAACCTTCATTCTAATAAGATGGAACACAGAAAAAAATGGACAGATTCCTAGATACATATGAATTACCAAAGCTGAATCAAAATGATATAAAGATTCTAAATAACCCAATATCAGACAACATTGAAGATGTAATTAAAAACTTAACTAACAAAGAAAAGCCAAGGTGACAGATTCACTGCTGAATTCTATAAGAAATTTGGAGAAGATCTAATGCTACTCTTCCTCAAACTCTTTAATGAAATTGAAAGGGAAGCAATACTACTAAACTCATTCCTGGAAGCAAGATTACCCTGATACCAAAACCAGAGAAGAATCCAACCAAAAAAGAGAACTGTAGGCCAATCTCCCTAATGAACATGGACACAAAATCTTTAATAAGATACTAGCAAAAATAATGCAGCAAATCATCAAGAAGATTATACACCATGACCAAGAAGGATACATCTCAGGGATGCAGGGATGGTTCAACATATGCTAATCAATAAATATAATATACCATGTTAACAGAGCCAAAGGCAAAAATCATATGATCATCTAAATAGATGTGGAAAAAGCATATGACAAAGTCCAGTACTCATTCATGATAAAAACCCTGCAGAAAATTGCAATAGATGGTCTTTATCTCAATCTGATAAAAGCCATCTATGACAAACCAACAGCCAACATCATACTAAATGGTCAAAAACTGAAAGCTTTTACTCTAAAGTCAGGAACAAGACAAGGATGTCCATTATCACCATTCTTAGTCAATACAGTTCTGGAAACATTAGCCGATCAATTAGACAAGAGAAAGAAATAAAAGGAACAAAATACGCAAGGAAGAAGTCAAATTATCACTATTTGTGTACGCCATGATACTCTACAAGAGCCCAAAAACTCCACCAAAAGGCTTTTAGATTTAATAACCACATTCAGTAGCATAGCTGGATACAAAGTAAACACTCAAAAAATCAATAGCATCACTGTGCACAAATAACAAACTAACTGAAAGAAAAATTTGGGAAACTGCATTTTCAACAATAGCATAAAAAATACTTAGGTATCAATCTAAAGAAGGAAGTGAAAGATTTTTACATTGAAAACTACAGTACTCTGAAAGAGGAGATTGAAGAGGATACCACAAAATGGAAAGATATCCCTTGTTCTTGAGAAGGAAGAACCAGTATAGTGAAAATGGCCATACTCACAAATTTGTTACACAGATTTAATGCAGTCCTGATCAAAATAGCAATAGCATATCTCACAAGATTAGACAAACCTAAAATTCATTTAGAACCAGAAGAGACCTAGAATAGCAAAAGCAATTCTGGGCAACAAAGGCAAGGCAGGGGGCATCGCAATCCCTGACTTGAAATTATAATACAAAGCTATAGTGATAAAAACAGCATGGTACTAGCAAATAAACAAACCTGAGGATCAGTGGAACAGAATAGAAGATACAGAAAGACCTTCAGACACACTCAGCCACCTTATCTTTTACAAAGGGGCCAAACATCTTCATTGGAATAAAGATAGCCTCCTTAATAAATGGTGCAGCAAAAACTGACTTTTTACGTGGGCAAAGACTAAAACTAGACCCATATCTCTTACTATACACTACACTAGAATTGGAATGGATCAAAGATCTAAATATGAAAACAGAAACACTAAATCTGCTGGAAAAACAGAATAGGTAGAACTCTTGAAGGAATAGGTGTCAGCAAAGGCTGTATGAAGAAAACCCCAATTAGACAGGAAATATCACAAAGAATCAACCAGTGGGACTTCTACTTATTAAAAAGCTTTTGCAAAAAGAAAAAGAAACCACCCAAACCACCAAGAGTGGAAAAAAGTTTTTACTGGCTGTTCCTCAGATAAAGGACTAATATCTACAAAATATAAAGAACTTAAAAAAAAATCAGAACTCCCACATTTAAAGACCCAATTAAAAAAATAGGCATCTGAGATGAATATACTTCTCAAATGATGAAATACAAACAGTAAATAAATATATGAAAAAATGTTCACCATCATTGGTCATTCAAGAAATGCGAATTAAAACAACACTGAAATTTCATCTCACTCCAGAAAGAATGTCTGTTATCAAGAAATCAATCAATAATAAATTCTGGCAAGTCTGTGAGGAAAAAAGGAACCCTTCTCCGCTCTTGGTGGGAGTGTAGACTGGTATAACTCCTGTGGAAATCAGTGTGGAGATTCCTCAAAAAACTAAAACTAGCTGGGGATTTAGCTCAGTGGTGCCACCACTTGTCTCACAAATGCAAGGTCCTGAGTTGGATCCCCGGTACCAAACAAAAAAGAAAGAGAGACCAAAAAACAAAAAACTAAAACTAGAGGTTCCATTCCACCCAGCTAGCCCCATTTTTGGTGTCTTCCCCAAAGAATTAAAAGCATCCTACCACAGCAATATATGCATACACAGGTTTGTAGCAACACATTTATAATAGCTAAAATTTAGAAACATCCCAAATGCCCATTAATCAATTAATAAGTTGTATGTTTTTAACAATACAATGGAGCAGTACTCTGCCATAAAGAAGGATAAGTCTGAGACACTTCTAGTTAAGTGGTTGTACCTCGAGACCATACTCTTACATGAAATAAATCAGACACATATCTTCAAAGAGAAAAGTGTAAATAAGGACCACATGCATAATTGATGTGAAATAGGAAGAAAATGTTCAAATGGTAAGGGAGACTGGGGAGGAAGGGAGGGATAATGGAAAGAAGGGAAAAGGAGAAAAAGAGAACAGAAAAAATGGAATCAGAGCCTTTTTGTAAATGTGGAGGGAAGAGGGGCTGCAGGGAGGGGAGTGAAATGGGAAAAAAAGAAGAATCAAGGTATCTCATGTACAAGCGTGGAGTCTATATGACAAATATTATCAGTATGTACATCTAAAATGTACAAATAAAATTAACTTTTAAAAAACTAGGATGAAGTCACACTGGAGGAGAGTGGGCTCTTGCTGCAGGATGACTGGTGTCATGATAAAAAGGGAAAATTTGGAGACAGGCCGGCACACTGGGAAAATGTCGTGGGAAGATGCGGGCTGAGGTAAGGCGATGCATGGACAAGCCACGGGGCGGGGGCGCTCCCAGCCACAGAAGCTAGGGAAAGGGACAGAGTAGTTCTCTTTCAGTCCTCTGAGGGGCCAATCTTGCTGAGGCTTTGATTTTGGTCTCTGGAATTGAGAGAGAGCACCTTTTTGTGTTTCTAAGCCACGCCGTGTCATTTTGTTACAGCAGCCCTAGTAAACTAACGCAGTGATGTAAAACACCCGTGCTTCTCCCCGACAATGGGGCACAATGGCCCACAGGGGCATTTTACCTGCAAAGGACAGATGGTGGGGCCCAATTTAACAGAGAGATCCCCTTGGGCTTGACCCTAAAACCACCAGCAGCGTCCCTTCTCTGCTGCTCCCGGAAGGGCCCATCCAAAACTGCATTCTTGAATAACAGCACCGTGTTCTATTTTTCATAGTACGTGTAACCAGTGGTACCGATTAAGCCACGTCTGTGATGACAATCTCTTTTTTGTGAAATTAAGAAATGAGATCTGAAACTCAGAATTTACAAATATGCCATATCTGAAATACTCGCTGGTTGCTAAAGATTACACACAAAGACATGTGTGTACAATACGTAATAGACATAGACACGTTTCAATACGTAGATTTCCTCACTATAAAAAGGTATGCACACATTCATCCCGAATTTGATCTATGCTTAGCATTCTCACTTAAACTGCTCTCCACAATGTTTATTATAAAAAGATACACTGTTATTGTTTATGTGCCGTCTTGATTTAAAACTTTTTTTTGCCAGATTCTTTGGCACTAGGAGAATGTTAAGAGTATCCAGATACACATATAAAAGTACTTACCAAGGAACATTTCAATAACAGATGCCTTCATAGTGAGAACAACAATCCCCATAAGTATCTAAATGGCACCCTGGAGAGAAAGAAACAACAACATCATCATGTTTCAGAGTGGAGTCCTGAATCGGACGCAGCAAGTGTTATGGGGAGAGTGGCCATTTTGTGTGGCACTCTGGGGTCACAGGAGTCTGAGCTGGGGCTCCAGCTTCCCGTGGAGGTGGCAGTGGACTGTTTCCCAAGCCCCCAGAGTCTAGTCCCAGAAAAGCCATTCTTGCCACCAGCCTCTGAGTCTTCAGAGATCTGGTCTGAGAATTAAAGAAGAAACAACTCCACGATTTTGGGATATGGCCAACTAGTCTTCACATTTGGGCATTATCCACATGTATGGTGTTGTGAGAATGCTTTTAAATTACAGATAAATCATTCAATAAGTATTTATTAAACTCCTATTATATGGCGAAGCTTTGTTAGGAAGAAGGCAATAAAGATTGAATTAAAAACCAGTTCTCACTCTTAAATGACTCACAGCTTCAGAGAGGTGGAAAAACACACATGAACAGAAATAATCCCCTCGTGAGAGAGCTTAAGAATTTTCAGGCCTCAGGAGGGAATAGAAGGGAAAGTTTACAGAGCAGTGATTCTCACACTTTGCCGCATATTATCATCATCTGGGGATTTCAGAAAATCCTGATATCCAGGCTGCACCCAGAGAAAGTGATTCCGAATCTCTCTAGGGGTGGGGTCCAGGTGTCAAACTTAAAAAACAAAACCCTCCTCAAATAGTTCCAACTTGCAACCAAGTCCAAGGAGTAGTTTGGAGCAGGTCGTCTTTTAATGTGCATAGAAATCACCTGGGGATCTTGTTAAACTATAGACTGTAAACCAGTAGGTCTGGGGCAGTTTTAGATTCCTAAAGGACTGGGACTTTTAAAGAGAAGAAAGAGATGATTTCAACCACGGGAATAAGAGAAAGCCTCACAGAGGAGGTGGCCATTGGTCCAAGAGTGAAGACTGAACAGTTTAGACAGGTAGAAATAGGTAGGGAGAAGGAATACTGGGAGGGGCGTTCAGAATCTGTGGAGCCCAGGGATGGAAAGCACCTTAGATGTGAAAATGGTGGATCTGTTAGGGGTTTCCTTCTCTTGAGGCTTCCAGGAAACCCTCCAAGGTTTACTAATACTCCCATTAACTGAGCATGCATGGCATGCTTTATAATGTCGTGAATGCTTATGCTAAGCCATTGAGATAGATCTGATGATTCTCACTGAACAGAGGAGGAAACTAAGGCCTAAAAATTAAAGAACAAGGCAGGGAGTAGACTTGGGAAAGCAGGGGGAGTAGGTGGAAGTGATCTGCCCTGGGCACAGATGATAAGGGGGAGCATTGCACAGAATCCAAACCCTTAAATTTGATCTCCTTTTTATTACCCTTATTAGTTAGCAATTTTAAACAATGTCAGTGATAATCAAACACGCCTCCTCTGTGGGGCAGGTGGCTCCTCTCCTCCAGGTCCATGGCTGTGTGGCCTAACGCTGACATTTACAGCCCTACACAGCTATTCCCGGTGGTGTGCTGGGATCACTTTTATGATGTAAATCCTTCTATGATGGCTGATTTTAAAGCCCCTAAAGTGATGTCATTGAATGAGAAATTTGGAGAGAGATAAGGAGCAACTGGTTCTAGCTGGATCCAGAAAGAGCTTATCACCAATATTTAGACACAGTGCTACGAAGAGTTTGTTAGCAAAAAGCAATTACTAAATTAGGGTTGAAACACTAATAAAAGTACTGTACCTAATATAGTGAACTTAAATATTCAGTATATGAAAAGTTTATTACAAGCAAATTGGGCACAGAGAATAACCCCAATCAACACTGGATCACTGAATTGCTAGCAACAACTGTAATGTGTTACACTTCCCAATTTAGGTGGTTGATCACTGGCTACACAATAGAGAAGTAATCTCTAATTTCAAAACAGAAATAAAATTATACATATAATCTACTTGCCAATTTGGTGCTTAAATATCTGGCTTATATTTTGGAAATAGTGTGAGGTAACAAGCAATTTTTTTTTGGCCGGGGGTCTTTGATTCATCTGAGAAACTCCAGAGCAATTCACATGGCTTCTGGTCTACATATTGAACTTTCCTATCAGCTATGTGCAGAAGACCAAAGTTCCCTGCTGGACCAGCGCAGCCAGGCCCACTGATGGGCTGTTACCATTGAAGGTTTCATCTCATCATCCTAACTGCTTTTTTCCTCACATCTTCGCCACCAGCCGGCTCCCTTGACTCTATGCACACCCTACCCAGGGTCTCACGCTTTCTCATTCTCTTTACGGCTGCACCTGGTCCACGTCACAGCTGGCCCACCTGGATTACTGCACTTCCTCCCCGCCCAGTCCACACAGGAACCAACATGGCCCTATTCCAGGTAAACTGGCTCTCCGCACCCCTCTGCACAGGACCCCACCTGACTGAAAATGCAGGCAGTCCTTGTAGGTGGCTCAAGAGCCTACCTGACTTGGACTGACCACCATGTATCTTTCTGACTCCACATTCTCCCCCTCACTTGCTGAATCCCAGCCATCCTGGGCTCTTGGCCGTTGCTGGAAATTGCTGGCATCTCAGGGACTCTGCACTTATTGTATTTCTCCTGTTTGCCCTGACTGGATGGTTCTTTCCATGGATAAACGCATGCCATTCTCCCTCCCTTCTTTCCAATCTTTGCTCTACGAGTCAATTATGAGATATTTTCCCACCACCCGATGGCAAGTTGTAATCTCCCTCCTACCCCATCCTTTTCCTCCTGTCCTTTTCTCCAAGTCACTTATCACCTTCCGATATACTCTATGGTTTACTCATTTCCCTTGTCCATCTTTGTGTTCCACCCCCCCACTCCCGCTAGACGGCAAACTCCAGGAGGGCTGGATTTTTATTTGCTGTTTTAGGTGCTCAGGACATACTTGTTAGGTCAATGGGTAAGTATTGAGAACTCTCCCTTTTCTCTCTCTAAAAAAAAAAATAGGAAGGAAGACAATCTTGTAAATATGTACAGTAAAAAAACACTGAATGTTGTACTTTAAATGTACTATATTTTGTGGCATGTGAGCTATGGCTAATAAAAATAAGTTAATAAAGCGTTATTGATAGCCACCTAAAGGGAAAATGGAGGGCAGAGAGGAGCACGCTCAGACCTGCCCTATAGTTTGTTTGTTTATTTATTTATTTATTGGTACCGGGGATTGAACTCGGGTCCTTAAGCTTGTGAGGCAGGCTCCAGAACCACTGACCTAAATCCTCAGCCCCTGCCCTATAGTTTTAGAAGTCATGAAGGATGTGACCTTTTCACCCTGGGATAGACGTATAACAACCTATGGGATTCCAGGAAACACTCGAATCCCGCAGGAGACAAGGCCCTAATGCGATTCAGAAGCGATGGAACCTGACCAGGATCGGTCTGGTCTCTCGGGAGCACAATGATCGAAGGGTTCATTCTCTCTAATGCAATGTTGCTTAAAATGTAGGAGCACTACTGGAAATGGGTGCAAAAAAATTCAAACCTTCTCTCATCCCTCTGGGAGGCTGGAGGGGAACAGGGCAGTCAGCGCTGTCTGGCAGCTTTTCCAGGTGGCTGGGGTCATGGGGCTGGGGCCGCTCAGTGGTCCCAGAGCCTAGATTCCTCATGAGCTCGCAAGGATTCTAGCAAAAGCAGGATAATAAGGGCTTTCAAAAGAATCCCACTAGCCGGGCGTGGTGGCGCATGCCTGTAATCCCAGCACTCGTGAGGCTGAGGCAGGAGGATGGCTGTGAGTTTGAGACCAGCCTGGGCTACACAGTGAGTTCCAGGTCAGTCTCAACTACATAGCAAGACCTTGTCTCAAAAAACAAACAAACAAAATAATCGCCTACTGATTCGTACATGTTTGGAATTGTAGTATGAGATGTAATAGAAAGAAACTGGAATAGGAAGTTCTGGTGGGCACATGAAGCCTCACTGTGAGAGAAAACATTCTTAAGTGTAAGTAGATTAGCACAGCCAACTTAGTTTTCATTACGCAGGGTGAGAAGACAGCAAGCTGCTAATCAATAATCATGTCACTATAGATTTATATGGTTCTTCACAGTTTTTAAATAAAGAAGCTTCACGGACATGTTTAGAATGTGGGCTTCACTTTTCTTTCTTTTCTTTCTTTCTTTGGTACCAGGGATCAAACTCGGGTCTTTGTGCTTACGAGGCAGGCAGTGGCACCACTGAGCTAAGTCCTTGGCCCCTCAGTTTTTAAATAAAGCAGCTTCGTGGGCATGTTTAGAATGTGGGCTCAGTTTTTCTTTCTTGTTCACGCTTCAGTTCCTAGATCCTGGAGCAGGGCTCATGGTGATGAATAATATGTGTTCTCTGAGCAAATGAGTAAATACAAATGCTCTTCACTTTGAATTAGTGTAGGAAGTGGGGATTTGTATCATAACCCTTTCTTAAATAGTGCTAGGAATGGAATCAAGGGACTTTGCACTGAGCTACATCTCCAGCTCTTTTTTATTTTTTGAGAAAAGTTCTCATTAAATTGGTAATACCTAGGCTGTGCTCAAACTTGTGATCCTCCTGCCTTGGCCTCCCAGAGTGCTGGACTCATGACTGTATATTACCATGCTTTACTCCTAATTCACAATTAAAAAGATAAGGCAACTGCAGCTTGGGGTGGGTAAATGACTTGTTCAAGGTTGTATACACAGTCTAGCCCAGGTTTCATGACTCTTGATCTTGTACTGCTGTTTCTGTCTCTTGGTGTATATAAAATAATCTGCAAGTTGTATCTTATTGAGATTTTAAAAAGAAAAAGCATGCAATGGAGTACTACTCAGCCATAAAGAAGGATATATTTGAGTCATTTGTAGAAAAATGGATGCACTTGAGTCTGTAATGGTAAGTAAAATAAGTCAGACACAGAGGGTTAAATATCACATGGTTTTTCTTCTGTGTGGGACTCAAAGTGTAAATAATTTAAAGGTCAAAGCAAAAGAAAGATGATATAAAACAGAAAGATGAACTTTGATGCCAAGTGGGCTCTGGG